AAAGTATAAAAAATTATTTACCTTTGCTAAAATTCCAAATTCATTACAACTTTTTACAAAAATATCACACAGATTTTCACCAGAATGAGGATCACAAAGATTTATAAAGTCAAGTAAATTATCTTAAAGTTTCTAATCTTTAGAAATCCAATGTATTGTAATAGCTATAAAAGCATAACCATTTATGGATGTCTATGCATCAAAAGCAAATGAAATCCTTCCAGGTATATTCTATTAAAATGTAATTTAAAGTAAATATTTTTTAAAAAAATATACTTAAACATAAATTTTAAACTTACTTGAAATAACATTTTCATTTTTATTTGTTCCATTTCAAAAATTTTCATTATATCTTTTTTTGCTGTATCTGCTGAAGGTATTAATGCATTAGAATTTAAAAACTTTATCATTTATTAAAAATACTTGTTTTCAAGCGTTGTAAATGGTTGATCATCAGTAATTATCCATTTTGAAATAAATTTATGAAAATCTTCTTGTGTAAACTTAAAAATACAAATAAAATTAATAAAATTAATGTAAACTAAATTTTTTTTTTTATAATAAAATACATAGATTAATTAAAGTCTCTTCTACTCTTACAAATTCATCTAATGTACTTTATTTTTCATCTATTAGGTGTTTTATTTTTTTTGGATTTTTATTTTGGATGATAACGCTCTAAATGACGCTAAAGATTTGTTGTATTATTTGAATCTCCAATCTTTCAAAGCCATGTTTTATGTCCTCTAAAATATTTTTAAAAGAAATAAGAAAAAATAAACAATAATACACTACATTCTACTCTATTAGAAATACATACAAGCAGTAACTTCTTTATGAGTTTTTGAATTTTTGTATTCAAGTGGAAGAATATTTTCTTTAAAATTCTTTGGAAAAATGTTCAATTCGCAATGCCTTTCATTTTCCAAGAGAAGTTGTATTATCAGAATTAGTAAAGTCAATAATTTCATTTATTATTTAATTTGTACGTTATAGATTAAGTCGCATAACATAAAACAAATTGTTGCATTGCATATCATTATATCATTTAAATCACATCATCTGATCATTCAGGCCATCCAGATCAAGCAAAATCAAGACCTTAACCCAGCAGATTTTAAGAAATTAAGACTTGTGACATAAAATGATAGTTCCAACTTGAATTTTTTCTCGAGTCAGGTCGAATGATCCAAGTTAATTTGACTGGCTCAGAGCACTAAGCTTAATAACTTATTTCATCATTATTAACCATGATCCTAAGCATATGAATGGATATTACAATTATCTCATATGCAGTAATTCATTTAATAACCACTTAAGAAAAATACAAATTAATATGTTGCAAATTGGTAGTACTAATTTACTGTAGAAAAGATGCTGTTGTGAAACATGAAATATAGTGTTGCTATTTTCCATTGGCCAAATATAGGAATATAATAAATTCAGTAATTATTAAAATCATACTTTTAAAAAATTTCAACCTGTTTTTACTAAAAATTATGAATTGCAGAAAATTTCTATTCTTTTTTGCATTAAGCTTCTTGTTCTTTAGTGTTGAGTCATTTACTTCTGCAGAACATTATTCTCATACTTTTGTTCTTATTGAAAATAAGCTTTATTTTTTTAGCGGAGACGAAGAATTTTATTCAAATGAAGTGTTCTATCTCGATTTATCTCAACAATTTTATGCAGAATATCCATCATGAACCGATTTTACAGCAAACTTAGAAATGAGTATTAAAAGTAGTTAGGCAGTAGTTGCACTAATTATTAATGATAATAACCTGATTATTTATCTAATGGGAGGTTTGATGTATAATCAAAATGATGAAGATTCATTTACTTTACTGGGGGGGGGGGGGGGGGCAAGGGCAGTTCCCACAAAGAAGGAAACTGCTTTCCATTGCCTTCTTGCTATATTACTTTGTATTTCCTTTCCATTTCTCGCATCTCTAGCTCATTATAATTAATAATTATATTTCTTGCCTGGCTGGAGAC